CAGTTTAAATAGAAACAAGGCCAAAGATTTGAATGGACATAACTAAAGGAGAAATATGGAAGGTAAGGAATGCATGAAAATGTTTAGTACAATTGAATGTTACACAAATGCAAATTAAAAATACAATTTGGTACCATTACATGTCAACTGGAATAAGAAGCAGGACAACAATTATATAATAATACACAATGCTGTTGAGGTTATGGAACAACTAGAACATTCATGCATTGCTAGTGGGAATGTTCAATCTTATAGCTTTGTGGGAAATAGCTGGGCAGTTTCTGACAACATTACATGGGCCATTATCATATGAATCAGTAAAAACATGCTTAGTTTTTTGTTGAAGAGCTGAAAATGTATGTTGCCCAAAATACCAGCCTATACAATGGATGCACCTTGAGACCATAATGCTCAGTGAAATACATTGGACACAGATTAAATACCACATGATTTCTTTTATACGTGAAAACTAAAACTTAAATAAGTAAAAGAACAAAAAAAAGATGATAAAAAACAGTGAAGTGAACTTTGTGGAGGTGGGCAGGGGACTTTGAGATGGAGAGGAAGGGAGGGTTGAGGGAGGGAAAGCAAAAATGATTAAAGTGCTATATGTATATGGACCAATTCCTCCAGACAAATGCAATTCCTATGTATCACAAACTTCCTTCTTGGGAATGGCTAACAATTTTGTCTCCAATAATCTAGAAATGGACACCGTCTAAAGGTACATTTCTTATTAAGTAGATACTCAAATTCTATGACATAAACAATATAATTTAGCAATAACCAGAATGAATCTTTGAAATATCCAATAACACAGGTGAATCTCAAAGCCTCATGCTAGGTGGAGAAAGCTAACCCAGAAATATAATGTATACAGTGATTACACTTACTGGCACAGAAATTCAGATACAGGTGAGGGATGGACATGAAGAACTTCTGGCAATAATGGAAATATTCTACATCAGCTAGTTGGCGACTAACCATCCAACTCTTTGGAAACTCACTGAACAACATATTTAAAATACATTTGAATTTCATTATATGTCAATATAACTGGCTAGAAAAAGAATAACAAGTGACCAGAGAAGTATCCACATGAAAAACAAAGCAACAAAATAAAAATTTCCACATCTAACTCTACAAAAATAAGTTGGAAGAACTAAAGACAGTGTAGAAAAACAGATAAAAGATTAAAAAAAGAAACTTAAATATGTCTGGTATATGAAGCTCATCAGTAATGGAGTCAAGGTTCAAGTTCAGTCAGCCCAAATCCAAAGCCAGGATCTTAACAACCTCACTAAAACTGAAATCACATATACTAGGAAATCTCTCTTCTGAACATGTATCTGTCAAAAGCCTTCAAAGTAGGTAAAAGGGCCTATATGTGAATATGACACATGGTTTATGTCACTGAAAAAACAAAAATAGCACAGAGATACATAAAATAAAGTACTTTCATATGGTAGAATTCTACCAAGTAATTACAAGGAAGAGAATAGATCTCTGTAAAATAAGGAAGTGGTTATTTAGTGATGTCAGTCTCTGGGTTCCAGTCCCATCTCTGCTGCCAACTACATGAGTGACCTCGGGCAAGTAACTCAACCTGCTTGAGTCTTAGCTTATTCATCAATAAAGTAATAATAACACAGCATTTACCATGTAAGACTATTGTGAGGATCAAAAGAACTAATACTTGTAATGCCATGAAATGTGGCTGATACTTAAAAGGGTGATGCTAGTGATAAACACACAAATACATAAATATGTAGAATTTGTCTTAAAAACTTTAATTCAAGCAGGTATTACATATACATATATATATGACTATATAGTGTCAGTAAAGCTAGGAAAGAGGATCAGAATGAAGTTGGCCCACAGGACTTATGTTTATATTTTATTTCTTTACTTAGAAAATGAGAAAGCAAGAGAGAGAGAGCCCATAAATCTGACAGGAGGGTGGCAATCGAGGCACCTTACACTGTTACTTTAAGTAATTTTTTCATCTTTTCCTGTTTTAAAAGTTGACTTGGACAAATACAAAGGTGACTTCTTAGACAGGGTAAGAACAGACAGAGCTGTTGACAGAGTTTTTCAGAAAGCAGCCAAACTAATATCTTAATTTGAAATAAACTTTATGCGTGATAGACTGTTGAAGACAAACCATCAGAGTCTGTTTGCAGCAGAACAATCTACAATAGATAAGAAGTGTTGAAGCCAAGAAGACTCACAAACACTGAGGCAGAAGGACCTGAGAGAAAGCAGCAGCCCAGGCCAGACTTATTTTATGTCTAAGGAAGAGCTGGCCAGTGATACCCATGCAGTCCTCTATCTGCCTTGGGTCCTTCAGTCCATTCTTAGCACTGATTTTTAATGGATAACATCCCACCTGCCATCTCCCAAGATGAAAGTCCTTGGAAAGGAAAACCTTGCTAAGAGTGCTCTTCCAAGAAAAAGTCTTGAGGGACTGAGCAAGGAGAGGCTTTTCTAGGTGTAGAGAAAACAGTTTGGAGGATGTAATAGAAAAGTGAACATGAAAGAAAGAATGAATAGGAAGTAGTGCATATGGATTTCTCCTATTTTTGCAACTGTGAAAAGTATGCATAATTTGAAAGGTTTCCAAAATCTCTAAAAACTTGACTTGAAGGTTGAGCTACATCAATATGAGCATAAAGAACAACAATTATTTTTTCAAATAGTCCAGATCATAAGTTACTGTGGCTATTAAGTGCTCTATTGGCTTTTCTTATGTGGTATTGGGTATTCCTTCATTTTTCAAAGAAATGAATTAAACAAAGAAAAGCAATGGAAGAAAGGAGAAAAGGCAGGAGGAAAGGAGAAAGGAAAAGAGGAAGGAAGGAAAGAAGGAAAGAAGGGAAGAAGGAAGGAAGGAAGAAAAGAAGAAAGGAAGGAAGAGAGGAAGGGAGGAACGGAGGAAGGGAGGGAGGAAGAAAGAAACAAAGAAGAAAGGTAGACTTTAAATGTTTCAAGTTTCCTCTGACTTCTCCATATAGCGACTTTTTTAACCTCTTGAACAAATTCCTCTTTAGTAGAACACACTGTTGTACTACTCTCATTCACTTCTGAACTAGTAAAGCTACTCTAGTTTTGTTTTGCACTTTTTAACTCAGAGAGGCATATTTATTAACATTTATAAGTTTTCAGCAGCATTTGCACCAAATGCACAAATAAATCCAATGAAAATATTAATATAATTAGCAATAGGTAGAGGGAATGTTAATTAGAAAGGACTTTTGGCAAATGTTTTTAATATTCTTTCATGTAGGGAGCTAGCTTGGAAAGGCAAGAACGTCTGCATATTAGAAATTTTTTAGCAGAATCAACTTCCAAAAGGAAAGGAGAAATATATACTTCCCATTGTCAATGACCTTAAGGATGGCATATAAAGGAAGGTCATAAGTTAGGGATGGCGTATGTTTCTGCAGGAAATTTAATAGGTGTCCATTCATAAAGCACAGCTTATTTTACTTCTGTGAATCAGAGTGATGGCTTGAGTATTGCACAAGGGTACTTCGTGGATGCACGCCACACTTCAGATTGTGCATGACAGAGATAATCGTAAAACAAAGTAACAAAGTGCTCCGAAGCGTTCTGTGTTTGGGAATAATGCACGTTAATTTCCAGGTAGTTACAGGGGTTTTCATTTCCATGCCAACTGCGAATGCCACTTCCCTTAGTTCAACCAAGTAAAATATCAGGTTCAGAATAAGAATGAGCGCAAAATAAATCAGAAACCTTTTGTTGTCTATTCGTCTAAGTGTGGATTCAAGTTTCTTTCCTTTATCTTGGGCTGGAGGCTAAACTATGCTTGAAATGTATAAAGAATATTGATAAATTTCATTTCCCTATAGAATGTATTCAGTGCAAATGTTCTTAGAGAAGATAAATAAGGCTTCATTAGACTTTCATATCTTAGCATAAATAAGTTTAATAGATTCTTTTCTAGGATAAGTTAAAGTTGAATTTCCTTTGAAATTTGCAGGGCGTTGAAACTTGAGTCTCTGAAGAAACCATGGCTACAGACTCACCTTTGTTTTTTCAATCTTACTGAGTTACTAGGTGGAAGTTATTGAATCTTTCTGAGACATAATTCTTCCATGCATGAGTTGGGAGGCAAATAAATAAAAGATGATATTTCACCACATTTTCTTCAAGTAGCCACACAAATCTATCATTTTAAGTGAGTATCATTTGAAAATTCACCCCCAAAATGTTATTTTAATAATTGCAACTAAGAATCTGTCCTTCCAACAAAAAATATTTAAATCAAACATATTTTAAAAAATTCTATGAGCTAATACAGGACATGAGAATAAGCTGAAAAAGAAGCTCAAGAAAAATATATGTTAAGACACTTCTCTTTAATGTCACACGATGAGAGTAGCATTGATTCATTCCTAGGTGAGCATGACCTATCGAGTTTCTTCTTTCAGGAATTTCATTGAGATGAACACCAAGAATGATGTTGTCTTTGTGAACTCTTATCCTGACCTCAAGTTTGGAATAAAAAAAATTTAAGTGACAATTGCTGAGACTATTGAATAGATTTAGTATGTGTAGAAAGCCACTGTAAGGTGCTTTTGAACAAAAAGGACAAATTACTTTGAACAGTAACCATGGATGCTCCTGGTAAAAATGGAAGTGAGGAATTTCCATAATTTTTGTTAGGACAAGGACTTTGTGTATGTATTGGAAATAAGGAGGTGATACTGAGAAATGTCATTAACTATAACACTGAAGGTCAAACCACAACAAATTCCAGGGCAAAGAAACTCTGTGTGGCTTCCTGTTAAATTTATTAGAGTGATTAAAGTACAATTAAATATATGAACATATGATAAATTAAATAATATCCAGAACCATCGTCATGTAAATGGTAAGGGAGGAGTATGGAGCATCTGGAATGTGGACACACCCAGGGAGAAGAGTATATATATCCCGAAGCCCAGGTAACGACACTGAACCTTAAAGAGTCTTCTCAGTTCCACTCAGCTGAACTCACATCTCCTTGAAACATGACCTACTGCTGCTCCTCCAGAAACTTCTCCTCCCGCTCCTTTGGGGGCTACCTGGAGTACCCACGCTCCTCCTGTGGCTCTTCCTACCCCAGCAACCTGGTCTACAGCACTGATCTCCAGTCTCCCATCAACTACCAGCTGGGCTCCTCTCTCTACAGTGGCTGTCAGGAGAACTTCTATGAGCCCAGCAGCTGCCAGAGGTCCTGTGTGGTGTCCAGCCCCTGCCAGACGTCCTGCTACCGCCCCAGGCCCTCCACGTTCTGCAGTCCCTGCCAGACGACTTACTCTGGATCTCTGGGCTTTGGGTCCAGCAGCTGCCGCTCCCTGGGCTACGGGTCAAGGAGTTGCTACTCCTCAGGCTGTGGCTCCAGTGGCTTCAGGCCCCTGGGTTACGGAGTCCGTGCCTTCCCTTCCTTTGGTTATGGGTCTGGATTCTGCAGGCCATCCTACTCAGTTACTAGGAGCTGCCAATCTCCCTGCTACAGACCAACCTATGGATCAGGCTTTTGGAGATCAACTTGCTGAATTCCAGAATTTTTAAGCAACATGTCTTAGTGTCTGCTTAGAGCTACTATTGTGAGCAACCCTCTCTGTATCCTTCCTCTGGTATAAAGCACTGGCTGACAGACTAGATCTTCCAAACTATGAAATTAATGAATAGAGTCAAATATCTGTCATTTTCAAAATAAGTGATCATTAATGCTTAACTTCTTCTTATGAAATATATATTTGAGCTAATAAACTCATTCTTCCTTGCATCCAATATGGTCTCACGGTTCTTTATTGATTGCCAAAGCTTGATTTATGATTTGTCTTTGGGCTCCAGGTTCTCTAAGTACCTTCCATAGAAAATCCATTTCCCAAGGAAATGGCAACAATGCAGGTGTGTGTGAATGATCTCTGGGCAGTCCATTGCCTAAGAAGGAGCAAGGGTACACCTGCTACCATCACAGCTGGTGGGACCTTAACAGCCCTACTGAGAGTTTACATTTTCAAAACAATACTGAGTTAGAATTTTCCTAGAAAGTTTCAGCTAGGTGGTGAAATATTTATAAAATATTTTATATAAAATATTTGAATAAATCTGGTATGTTGGCATGCAAAAGAGCATACATTATGTGCCAGGTGCTAGAGGGTACTATGGCTATCTTTAGATATAAGAGAACATGAGTTATTTTGTGTATGAAAGACAGAAAAAAGGAAGAGAGGGAGAGGGAAGGGAGGGGAAGGAAAGGAACAAAGACTGACTTGAAGATTAAAACCGAGTAAAAAATAGTTTCAGGAAGCCATATTTGAGGTTGTTATAAGAAATCTACCATGTCTTCCCTTCCAGTCCATGAGGGATTAGTTCTATGATTTCCTCATCGATACCAAATTCCATGGAAGCTCAAGTACCTTACATAAAATGAGGTAGAATTGCATATAATATATGCATATGTCTTTATATGCTTTAATTCATCTCTAGGTTATTCACAATACTTAATAGAGTGTAAAGAGTTTTATTAAATTTCAGAGAATATTTATCAATAAAGGTCTGTATCTGTCCAGTAGAGATGCATTTTTTTTTCAACTATGTTTCATCTGCACTTGTGGTTGAATCCATGATATGGAACCACAGACATGGAGGGCTGATTGTATTTAAGGTTATTATGAATTGGGTCCTTTTTTAATTTCAGTGTCTCAAAAATTAGATAAATGTTTTTGTGACTTTTGCATTGAATGAGAAGATCGCATCATATTCAATGTCTATTTATTTATTTATTTGTTTGTTTATTTATTTATTTTTGGTACCAGGAATTGAACTCACGACCTTATGCTTGCCAGGCAGGCGCTGTCCCACTGAGCTACGTACCCTGGCTCCACATTCAAAATTCACCCTAGTTCTCTTTGGAATCCATTGCTGAGCTGTAACAGTGATACCAAAAATAAATCATTATGAGATGCCATTCAGATCAGAGTGGTACATCTTCTATGGTCATTTCAATTTGAGCATACTGTTTTACAGATTAAGTATAGTATATGTTACAGTTTGTGTCTGAATGTCCCCCCAAAGCCTCATGCAGTCATGGGGTGGACTTTTACAGTTTATGATTGATATGTGATCCAATGCTGGGATGATGTGTGTGAGTGCTATATCTGCCCTGGGCAAATAGTTTGCATATGTAAGGGAAAGAAAGAGGCTACTTGCTGCCACTCCTCCCTTTTGCTCTTGGTGCTTTTGTTGCTTTCCACAGCCATGAATGTTTACCTTCTGCCATGTGCCACTCTGCCTTGGAGCCAGCCAAGTGTGGACTGAAACCTCCACAAGCTGTGAGCTAAATTAACCTTTCCTTCTTTAATATTGGGCATCAGGCATTTTGTCTCCACAATGAGAGAAAAGTAACCAAGACAGTATGAATATTTAGACCATAACATATCTAGCAATAAGCTTCCATGAGTGGGAGAATAATTATCAAAGGTCATCATCTGCCCAGTCATGCTCCATGATTGCCGATTGATTTGTCTTCCCTAATACCTTTTCCTGAAGAGTTGTAAAAATTGTGTCTGAGAAAAGAGGATATCCTTTCTCTTGTGTTAAGATAATAATGGGCTAATCATAGAGATGTGGAAACTAGGTCCTCTGTGTGAAGTAACGTCTTAAAAGATAAAACAAAAAGGAATACAAGAGAAGGACAAAGACAGAAGCTCCCGGTGGTACAGAACCCTATGTTTTCCATTATCCCTTAAAGTCAGCTTTGGTTATGCCTATATGTGTTAAGTAGGTTGGCCAATAAATGCCTCTTTTGGCTTAAAATAATTAAAACAAATTAAACTTCTGTCACTCCCAGCCAAAGAGTTATAGTTAATAAAACTGTGTCATCACGGCACAGAGTTATGCCCTGACTGTGGTGCAAACAAGCAATTAAAACATTTATGAGTAAGACCAAAGGCTTACATGGAGTCTGAACTATTGCCTTAGCGGTGATGGTGAATCACTAATTTTTCTCTAAGTAATGTGAAATGAGTAAACTGCGGTGAAGGAATAATTTGAGAAATCAAAGTTAAAGGGGTCACGGTAGCATAACCAGTGAGAATATCCAGAAAACTAGAATCTTCTAATGTAAATCATAGCAGCAGCAGACACTACTAGAGTCAACATACTCATGATATCATCAGAGACTGCCGTGGGCACAAAGGACAGATACACACTCGGGGCCTTAACCTGTTGTTCATTAAAAGAGGGATCTTGTGTGTTATTCTAAGGCAATCAAGGACTTAAATGTGCTTTGTGCTAAAACCTGTGACACTTCACTTGTGCCTACAGATGCCCAAAAGATAATTAGAAGCACAACCAAGCTAATCCTTCATTTCTATGTCTATTCTTATCTTGAAACTCTGGATATATTTCTCTTTTCTAAAGGTCAACAAAATGAAATTCATCACCCCTAAATTTACCTAGTCTATGTCATCTCCCTTTAAGACTAAGGATATCCAATAAGAATAACTAAGGTAATTTTCAATACTTACCAAAACATCATATTATTAACTTTTATAAAATCCTGTTCCAGACGCCCTCTCTGGAACAATCCTTCCAAGTCTGCAGCCATTGTCTCAAGCCTGTGCTTAGCTGAGTTCCAGGGAAAGCAAGGCTTCATATGATTGAGACTGCTCCAAGCAGATGTAATCATGTCATGTGAAAGGAATCACCCCTTAAACCATGAGAATTCCTCCTGAGCTGCAAAACTCAATTTGAGATTATGATCTAACAGACCCAACTAACTAAGCCTTAAAATCTGGCCTCTGCTTTTATAAGTGAGTCAATCTGACCTTCTTCCTCAGAACATAACCTCTAGCTGCTCTAACTGGAGTTCTTTTTCTATTTTGTCTTTTGTTAAGGGTTGGCAAAATTTTTGTCAGATCATCAAGCTAGAGATCCATACTATTTTCTCTTACTTTCCAATAAAAGCTTTTTTCCTGCAAATGTATGCTTCAACTTAATTTCCATTATCACTTAAAAAAAAGACTCATGCTAGCCTAAGACAGAGTGACTAGCAGAGAAATGTTTTCATCTAAGAAAGAGAAAAGATAGGAGTTGCTAGTGACCAAGAGCATCTACTTCCGAAATGACTTAGAGAATTCTCCTCTTTGTAATGGAAATAGTGAAAAGAACCAAAAAATTAGAACTGGAGGCAAGGACGCAAGAAGAAGACCATACATTAGTATGTTTTCAGTACTGAAATTTTTCAAAGTGTAATGTGAAGACTCAGATGTCAGGAATCAGATAAGATTATGACACTGCATCTTTTATTCTCCACATAGCAATCATTTCTTAGTATCACATGTCTGCTGATCTATATGATTTTTATCTTTCCCTAGCTTCTCTCCTACTTTCTTTTGTATTCTCTTTCTTTCTCTCTCTCTCTCACACACCAGAGAGAGAATGTTTATGAAAGAAATATAAAGTGATTGATTATTTTTTTAAATCACAGTAAAACACACATTTCCACAAATGCACATATCTGTTGTTCAGGCCATTATCTGAAGTAGTTCTGGAAGTCTCTGTCGTGTGTTAGTAGATGTGATAAAAATATGGTGAATGCTGCTGCTTAATGCCAACCAGTGGATAGGCACACTCACAGACATGTTACTTTGTGCTCTGTCCACCTCATTTACCAGATCTTGCACTGTGAAATCTAGACTGCAACATACAACAGAAGTATGTCTGCTCAGTTCAACTGATTAAGAAATAAATTTGTGCTTTAACTCTCAAATATATTCTGCCAAACTGTATCCTCTTTACCAAGTCTCTCATAGGCAGTCTTTGAGCTTTAGACAAAAGAGTTGCTTTTTCTTAGTTATAGACCCGATTTCTATCACATAACTTCTTTTCCCCTGGGAATTCTTTGCATTCTTTTCAAACCAGCCAAACATCTGTGTGATGACTGAATTTCCAATGCAAGAATTCACGACCCTGTGGTAATATTAACTTCTCCCTCCATAATCAACTGTTGCCCAATATGAATATTCCTTTATTTTTGGTTTGTTTGAGGTGCCGAAAATTGAAATGGGGGCCTTGCACATTCCAGGAAAGTGCCCTACCACTGAGTTAGACTCCTCAGACCTGAACAGTTCTACTTTTACACTACAGACTTTCACCTGTATCAACTATACTTCTTTCCCAGTCATCCTTATGTTAGAACAACCACTCATTAATTATGCAGAGAGCAGTAGCTTCTGCTTATTCACCTTCTTTTTGATTAATTAATTAAAAGTTGGTTTATTTTAGTAATGTTTTGTTTCAAGGTATATCCTTTGTAATAAAGCAGGTCATTATACACAAGTAGAAAATAGCAGAGAAAATATTTGGTTATGAGATTACTCACTGACACGGTAGTTATACACTTTATATACTTATCCTCAGGTATATTTTGGATGTCCTGAGGTTTAACAAAATAACTATTTTCCTGTGAAATATACACTAAATTTTCACTCTAGAGACATGTTACGATATGAAGGATTATTATGGGTAGGCTGGAGTTTTTAAATGTCTTCCTTTTCCCCTTTATAGCACTACATAGAGGGACACAAAGAAAAAACAAAACAAAAGCACCTTGGGAATTAGAGGATGTTCTTGGCTCTGTCTTTAACTACAACTACATATCCTTTAACTTTCCTTGGGCATCGTCTTCCTGGCTTTTACAATGAGCTGGCATTTCATAATCTGTGGTCACCAAGATTCCTTTCATCATTACAGGGCTACCCATATTACA